GGTGGTACCCCGGTATAACACAAGAAACTCAATTACTGTCAACCAGTTTACATATTAATTATATAAATAACCATATTCTCTTTACAGAGAATAGCAGACTGTACAAGGCAGGGTGGGCCAAGAAGGCATGATTTCAAGATGAAACATCTTAAAGAAGCTGCAGATGACCCAGCAACTGGCATCACTGATGATGCACTAACTGGCCAAAACAAACAAGCGTTGGCGATTGCGAGAAGTTGCTGAATATGCAGGTAGCTGAATGGCTTCACAAGCATAAACATGCTAATGAAGCAGAATATGTTTCAACTGTAGCACAGTGGCATAGAGCTACTGACGACAGGGGTATGACCCAAGATGAACGCCATTTAGCCAACCATAATATGTATTGCTACATCCTGGATGAACTACTACCCTGGCACAGAAAATTACTGGACTTGAGTACACTTGATGTCAGTATGTAAGTGTAAATCCAAATTTAATAAATCCCCCTTTGAACAATATAAAAATACCTTCATCATTATTAATTTGCATTTCTTATTTGTTGTCGTTCACAGGAAATGGTCTGCATGTGGTTTTACACGTGAAGTGTTAATTGGGCTTTTTGCCAATATATGGGACCAGGAGAGGTGGCGTGGAATCGGTACAACTCCGGAACACCCAAGGGCCTCCACAACAGATGACGTAGAGGGCTTTTTCTCCACCACACACCAGCATCTGGGTAGTTGTTTCACTTTGAAAAGCTGGAAACAAGGCTTCCCTCATCTGTGTGAGGTCTATACAAGGCGTATAGAGCCCACTCTACCTTTCTACTACTATACATCCAATAACATATAGATATTCCACTGATGCACTACCATCTTTCGATGAACCCAGGACTGATGGTAGACCTTCACGGCTGTTACAGCATCACAGAGTCCCACGAAGAGATGTCCTGGCCACTATCATTCCTGGTAGAGCCAATTTTCCTGCTCATGGTGCACAAACAATTAGGACTCAATATCACAACCATCGTCACATTGTCCCCAGACCGACAGTACCATAATACCTCACTCATGCAAAACCCTTGACTAGCTACCCTCGGCTTTGAGTTATACTCACATTCAGCTAGATACCAGAATGAAATTGTATTACTTTAATTCATGTAAATAAAAATGGAAGATCCTGTGGTTTTACGTTATGTTTACCAGACCTATCAATTGTGTCATTATTTTGCTGGTCAATTTGCATCTCAGTCTAGGGCATACCTATGACAACACGTACATCACACCAGTTATGTAGTAAAAAACAGACATCTGAATTCATTTTTTAAAGAGAATGATTTATTAGGCAAAGCCAAAATTGATGCATACACAAAAAAAAAAAAAAAAAAATTGAACAAACTATTTCAGGACTCGCCTTCACGTGCACTCACATTTTCAGATCCTATTGAGTGAACAGCATGCAAAGTCCTTGTGACTGGGACAGTGACACTGGTACCTTGTTGCACACGATCAAAATTTATTTTCACTCAATTTTCAGGGAAAGTGACCTCCCCACCCCCTCTCCATAAATGCAAGTGTTGTGAACATAACCAAGTTTATTTCTTACCACAGTGCGAACAAACACAAAGCTAGAAAGTGTGCTTTAAAGATATTTTGGTTATGACAAAATACAGTGTTGTTTAATCAATATGCCAGATATTCCAGGTATTCAGATATAATATGAAATGTATGTCTAGTTTGGTACAAGTCTATTGACTAAAAAAATTTTTTTCCTCGCACCATGGTGAAAGACGTAGTATCTGGACTTAATAAAATTTATCTTGTACTGCATGCTGTCACAACATGCTTGGCCCATTCACCTTTTTTTTCAATCATGATCGAAGCAAAATAACCAATACCAGAGTTTCTCCAAAAAATCCACCCATTCCAGTTTAATTGATATAATGCTATCATTATTCATTGCTGACAACACATCATTAGTTATTTCCTTCACCACATAGCCTATAGTTCTCCACTCATTTTTTACCGATACTTGAAACATTATAGTATTTCCATCATATTCGTTATTCATCATATTCATCATATTCCGGTATGAGTCATACTGTAATATCCTTAAAATGTTCACTGTTCATATTGTCTAGCTCTTCAAGTGTATCTTGATATTGTTTTTGTTTTAAAACACCTATCACCTTGAATGGAATCCTGTGTGCAACTTCGTCTGTGTCCAAATCAGAGACACAGTTGTCTTTATCACTGGAGTCACAATCTGAATCGTAGGTGCTATTTTCAGATCCATTTTTGAAAATATCTGAAGCATCTTCACTTGACCAAACCTCGTAGTTTGCAATGAAAGGTACTTTCTCCCATTCAGCAAAATCAGGAAACTCTTCATCAAAAAAATTCTACAATAAAATAAAAACTCTCATTAATTCACAATACATGTTATTAGTTTACGCATTGGAAAAGTTTGCACATTACAAAAATGGCATTCAAAACTTCATAAATACACATTCTAAATTATCAAGTTTCCTTATTTGTTGTATGTCAAAGACTCTGGCATTTTCAATACAAAAGGTAGTTAAAAAATAAAAAAAAAAATATGGCAAATTAGGTCTGACCCTGGTCTTGGTGTTTCATTTCATAAATTTTACAAGTGAAAGTGCAAAGATTTGTAAAATAAAAAAATAAAAAAAAATCACGAACAGTGTCTTCGAAACCAGGGAGTACAAGAGTGTTGGCCCATGTTGTACATGGAGATAGGATCGTGAAAATATTCAAATATTTAAACTAAAACATGTAACGTTGTAAGGGAAAAGGCAATAACTGTAGCCTGCAATCACTGTAAGCCTGTGAAACCGACGATAAAATGACGCTACAATTATTGCAGCTACTTTTGCGTGATCTGCACCAATATGACCACATTATATTTCGTTTTTTAAAATTCATGCTATCTAGATATTCTAGACAACTATCAAAACTACAGTAAAGCGAAATGAACGGGTGTGACGTTAAAATCGAATGCTTGACAGAAACACGGACACGAACAAAACAATGGTCGCCATTTTGAAATTATTAGTATTGTGAACGAGACTACGAGAGGGACTCAGAATTCATAAAACTTGGTATTGTACTTGCCTCTATATACTGAAAATGGTTAGCTTTGATTCGAAACGGAACGTCCATGCTCTGGATTACTGGAGTGTAGGCGTTCTTCAGTAAAACTGTGCCGGTCTATACATGGTCAGTTCCGTCGGTAAAACAATCCAACTCAACGATGTTCGTTGTTACAAACAGTTCAGGAAAAATTTCCAATTTAAAGTATGGTTCCTTCCAATTCCTTGGCTCTCTAGCGTATTAATATTGTTAATTCTGAAGCCACATTTGGCCAACATATTCGTCATACATTCAGAACGCCGATCCATGCTATGCGCGTACACCGGAAGTTATCAGAACAAACATCTATTCAGAAATGACCAGCTCCGACTGCAGTCTTTTTGAACAGCGCCCTCACATGTGACACCCCCCTGTTCTTTTCATTGGATGCGTGTCGCGGGTAAACATTTGAAACAAAAGACGTACTAATCTGTGATAAATCATTGACATAAAATGTATACAGGAAATCACGATGTCATTTTCCCCAGAGTTCATTGCAATCAACAACTGCACGCCATTTTATTGTGTCTGTGTCGATACTTTCAGTAATACTAAAGTGTAAGTTGTTCCAGTGAGTGAATCCTGACAAAACCTGTCGCTCAGTTTAAACTCAATACAAATTTGCCTGTCTTGTATGGCATTTTCTTTTCTAAAAAACAAGATGGGCAGAAAACTGAAATAAAAAAACCAACAAAACATGATCAAAAAAAAAGACGTCAAAGAAACCATATAAGTGTTTATATTTCAGCCATGCGAAAGTTTGAATGAGGAGCTATGATACCACATACATTTTGTTGGAAATAAACAAAATATGCGATAAGATAACTGAAATGACCCGCCCATGCTCTACAAAGTGCATGTAAGCAGACCAAATATGCAACAGGCAGTTCCAATGAAATTAAGATTGATTAAAAAGGGTTAGAAAAATTGATTTGACGAAGAGACTGCTAGAAAGTTGTACTGACAGTTCAATGTGTTCAAAAATTGTAGCGTTGACTAAAACCACATTTAACGGCACGCTGAATATTGCAACATGAAAAATTTGCCAAAAAACTTAAACAAGGACAGACAAGAACAATTAAACAGGCATTTTATGAAACTGGTGGAAAATGTTGAATACATTTTCAACGATTTCTACGGCGTCTACAAAAAAAGTGTTAAGACTGTAAACAAAATGGCTGATACAGTGATGCGAAAGCAAAACTATAAAATTTACTCTAATAAGCACCAAAATCGCATACAACCGTCATAAGTACGCACAGTAGTATACTAAAAATTCATTTGGTAGTATTTTTTATAATATAATGTATTTTAAAATAGTGACTTAGGGGTTAGAATTTTCATCACTTTTTCTTCCGGGACCCAAGCTTACTTTCATGACAACAGTGAAAACGATAAATGACGATTCTCGATTCTGAATGTCATCACAGTCACAAAGAGTACTCATCTGAAATGTACGTGTAGTTCTTCGTAGAGCTTGTGCACTAAACGTGGATATTCTATCGAAAACGAGCTCAAAATTTCAAATTCGCGGAACATCGACACAAAAATGAAATAAAATAGCGAGCCTTGAAATCTCAAGCAATAGAGGGCGTACACAGCGCGACACGCATGCTTGAGGGATTAGGCAGATTCACACCTTTTAACAATAGTGTCTTTTTTAGTAACCGTGATTCAACCTATCTTTTGAAGATGCGCATCAGATACAGTGTTCTCCACAGGGAGTTTTGCCGATATGCTAATTATATTCAAATTAAATACACTAATTGTATGCAACTTAGGCATCCCTGTTGGAATTTGTGGAGAACATCGAGAAACTACAACATATACTGTCAGTGGCATGGAGTTATAATCATCATTTCATACCTGTTCATTTTTTGATGATTTCCTTTTTGTTCCAAAGATCTGGAAACAAGTATTCTGTGGAGAAAGAAGTGAGCATGGTGGAGATGCTATGGCTTGTCCCCAGCCTAATTCACAATTCAGTGGCATAGTTGATAGATATACTCCTGAGTCAGAAATAAAAGGTTCTTTCTTCCTTCTATTAAAAAAAACAACAAAACAGTTTAACATATAATGAGTATTGTTCATAAAAGTGAAGATGAACGATTTAGAAGACAAATGTTAATTTAAATCAATTTAAGGTAGCGAGAAGGTTTTGTGACGTTTTTAAATAAAACATTCTCTGTCTGTTGTCTCGTTCAGAACAGTAATTTAGGTTATATATATCAAAAGACTAAGTATAGAGGTGCAAGTTCGCACAAACTGGACAGACATTGTTTACATAATTATCACGTGACATCAAAAATGGCGAACCTTGTAAAAATGACTAAGTACGCGATTGCGAGAGCACACTGCGGAATTTCCTGGTGAAATTTAAGTTATGCATTGTCCGTAATCAAGTCCATTGAAATGCGTCTCCGATAATCAAAAGACCTATTATTCCGATTTCTATGCAGGTTTGTTTTTTTGTCCCCAAATTATTTCATACTTGGCACCTTTAACAGACTATTATTCTGTGACAAAGCATTTTCTTTAAAAACCCAGACATATTTCGCACCATCATTATCTTTTGAACGATAACTGCGAGTTTGAATGTCCTAGTCCGAACGCACTTGATTTGGCGGCGGTCCCAATGAGTCGTTCTCGATCAAAACTTCAACTCGAGAAAAACGCGAAAAACAGTTTTGGTTAATAAAACACTGTAGATTTGCTGCATTATTATAAATATACACTAAAAATGGCCAAACATATTAACCACTGATATCATAGAACTCAT